AAAGAAGGTCAGTCGTGTTGAACTACAACCATGCCCCATGAAGAGTGACCCTCCTCAACCGATACAACCAACGACGATTAAATGCGTTCCCAACCGAGGTATTCATGAAGATACGTCCTCAACTGACACCGAATCTGAGTTTATGTTGCTCGTTAATACCCCTTCGTCACCCAGAAAGCATCACATATCCACTTCCAAAGGCGAACAAATTCAAGCAACTCCAGACAATGATCCAGCAACAACTCTCCGAAGATCGAAACGGATAGCGGCGAAAAGACAGAACACTCATCAAGGCAAATCAAATCCAACATGCAATCAACTGACGGTATCGTATCGAGACTTCAATGTTTATGTCCTAGTTATATGTGTGCTTATAACTGGCATTTCCGTGATCTCTGCAGTTATGTAGTTAGGTCGAGGATGATACCTTGTTAGCAGGGGAGAGTGTGGCCAGGTTGAATAAACTGTAGAGAGACTCAGAGACACCTTTATAGTTGTTGTTAGTTAACTTCCTGTTAATCAATCACTTCCTGTGACGTCATGAACACGCCATGCTGCCAATGCAGTTGAAGAAATATAAAAGCGATTTCAAAAGATATTATTCAGTATTTTATCGTCAAAGAAACATTTATATCGAAGAAAAGAACGACATTAAAAGGGAATTAACATTCTCGGGCAGTTGCCCGCTTGTAACCGTCGCCCTCGTATTTTGGGGTACATGTTCAAAATAAAAGAAAATTATAAACAGTTTTCACGAATCTATTATGTCCCAGTCACATATTGTTGACCTTACATTTTCCTACTTCTAAAACTCATTTAAATCAATTGTACTTACCCTACGGTTGGATCCACAGCTATCCAATTCGGATTATTCGATATATGCAGTAGAAACCTTTTCTCTTTGCCATCTAAATTGCCAACGTGAATTTGCTTGTAGATGCCATCACTCCAAAACAATCGACGTTCTATCCAGTCAATTGCCATAACGCTGGATCTTGTCATGTTTTTAAAAATGACTTCTTTGCTGGTGCCATCAAAGTTTGCGCGGCTAATTTGTTCGCCTTCCCTGATGTATAACTTGTTATTCACGTTGTCAATTGCTATGTTGTCAGTTCCTTCCAAAATTACATCAGTTTCATCAAAAGTGATCAAATCTATCGCATAGATTTGTGATTTTTGTTCAACAAGCAAGTACGGTTCTGGATAGGGACCTGGAGAAAGAAAAACACATCAGTAGGGTACGTAGCCATATTGTCAGACTGGCTTTGAACTGTTGTTATCTGACAGCGACTTAATTAAAATGCTAATAAAAGTTATTACGAATTAAAATTATATGCGAAGCAAAATTCGGAAACAAAATTCTACATCTTCTGCAATCCGTTTTTCGAACCCCTTCTTTTTTCATATTTGGTAAATCTATACAAGTACCTGCACTTGTTTTTAGGGTCATTTTCCACCGTCATTTTCTACCGTCTACATTAAGGTTACAGGACACCTTTTGTGGCGTTTCGCGGAGAATCGCTACTACGCGCTTATTAAGCGTCCGATTTTTGTCAAATTTTCACCAAATGTTTGCCAGGGCATGCAGAATATAATAAAGTTGTCAAATTGACAAACCAATAAAATAATCCAAGAATTACTCCGGAAAATTAAAAAACTCGGTACCTTCACGTCTTTGAGTTGTTCTCCTGTCGGTTTTAAGATATATTTTCGAAAATAACATTTTTGTAGAG